TTACGCAACCCCCCCCCCTTTTCATTTTACACTCTCAGTGCATTTTGGGGACCGACGGGAATGGTGATGGTGTAAACAACGCGACATGGAAATTTCAAAAAAAAGCTTATTGTTCATGTCATGTTTTTCTGGTTTGGACGGGCTTGGCCTGGTCTGTTCTGGTTGTGGTTGTGGTTGCGATTAGTTCGTCTCTCTGTCTCTCTCTCTCTCTTGCAAATGCAAGGTAGAAAAAGGCACGGCGGAACAATCACGGCAGAAAAAAGTTCATCATCATCATCATCATCATCAACTTGGATCGTTGTGTACTTGGTACTCGACACAAAATCTTTGAACTTTGAACGGTATTTCTATAAGTATACATACATGCCCTCAGCTCCCGCACGCTGGTGTAAAAGTGTCGGGGAGGAAGGAAAACCACACACACACACACGCATTCTCTTTTGCATGCATAAAAAAAAGAACTTGTCCACAAGACAACATAAACACGGCACAAAGCACGATTAACCACAAATCACAATGTCGATTTCCTCAACGGCCACGCATGCACCAAGCCCTCATAGACGGTGACATTGCTCAGTTCAGCCGTGGCTGTGCCCTCGAGGAAAAACGAAATCCCAGTGCTATCGGTGTACCAGGGTCGGACCCACGTGCTCAGTGCAAAGCGGTCGTTGGCGTGGACTTCGAGGATGCCGCCGTCGACGACAATGGTTAGATGTAGGGTTTCTACTTGTGCTTGTACATCAGTGCCGGTGGTGGTGTCGGTGGTGGATGATGAGGATGAGGAAGAAGAAGGCACATCGAATAAACGGAGCAACCCCGCTTCATCGTCAGACGCGATACCAGGCGTTGTCTTGGCTGCAGCAGACGAATTTCCGCGCAAGACGACCAGTTGCTCGGTGGCCATGTCATACACAATGCGTGTGGACTCGTGTGCGCCGGTGAGGATGTCGAACCCTGTTTTCGTAGTGTTGGAGCGCGCGGAGAGAGTGATGGAGGCCGTGAGCATGTATTTGTTTGAGCGGGGTGAGGGCGTGAATTCTGTCATGGTACCTGGGGTTACGGGGCCAGAGGGGAGCGAGTAGGTGGCTGAGGCGTGTTTTTTGAAGGCGGCGATGGGTTCGCGGGCGATACGTTGGCGGAGCGTTGTCAGTGTTAGTGTGCCATTTGTGGTGGATTGAGAGGGACTGGGAGAAGAAGAGATGCGCCATGAGCCTTTTTCTCGCGACAGCTCGTTGTCTCTGACAGTGATATGGCCGAGGCTGAGTTCGCGCGGGAGAAGCAGTGAGCCCGTCCAGTTTTGCTGGCGTGTGGGGAAGGCGGCGGTGCCGTAGAAGTCGCCTGTGAGCCAGACGTACGTGATGAAGCGGTCGGGCGCGCCGCTCGCCCAGCTGGCCTGTGAGTCTGCAGCGAGGACCTTGCCGGCGGCCGCGTAGGCGGAGCGGCCTGCATCGAGGCGGCCGGCCATGGTGGGCTCAAAGACAAGCTTCCCGTCGACGAGCGTCTGGGTTCCCGCCGCCCAGAGCATATCTCTCTCGTCTGAGACCTGGGGGACAATCGGATCGTAACTCCATTCCGCGCCTAGAGTGACGAAGATTTCACCCTCAGGATTCGCACCGTGCTCGTCGAGGGCAAAGAAATTCGCTACTTCAAAGTTGAAGCCCCAGCGTCCGGCCCAATCTTTGTCGCTCCACGTGGAATTCGCAGCTTCGTGCCACCACTGGCCTAAATACTCCCATGTCTGGAATTCATCTGCGTCTTTTTCGTACTGTGCGTACAGGAAGAGACTGGGGCCTTCTCCGTGCACACCACCAGAGATAACAGTATACCAGGTTCCGGATTTCTTGCCGAGCAGCGTGTCAACTTGCGAGTTTTGGAATACAAATGGGTCGCGGAAACCCGTGACGTTGACAGCGAACGGTGGGCTGGGGATCACGGGACCAAAGGGAGCTTTTGTGAAATTCTTGCCTCCGTCCGTGGCGTATGCGAGTGACTGTGTCTCACTGCCCTTTGTGTAGCGAATGGTCCATTGAATAGGTAGGTAGCTGACGCTGGTGTAGAGGAGCGTAGGGGTGCCATTGACGCCCTTTTCAATGACGCTGCCGTCGAACACGGCGACAGGGTCGTTGATGCCGCCGGCACGAATAAAAGGCGCAGAGTCGGGATTCAGGTCCTTGTAGGTAACCAGGTCGCTGGTGGTGGCGCCGGATGCTCCCAGGTGCAGATATCCTACGTGGAAGAGGCCAGTGTTGGGATCGGTGTAGTGCATGCAAGGGTCTCCGATCTGGCCAAAGGCTGGCAGGACGTGTGCTTTGGGGCGCCATTTGTCAAAGAGGGTGTTGTTTGCCAGGGTGGAGAGGTTTGGCGGTGCGGCATTGTAGTCGAGGGAGTCTTGGCGAGGAAGAATGCGACTACTCGTGAGTGTTGCCAACGACGCCAGGACGGAAGGTGAAAGCTTCATGGCTGCGGGACGCTGGCGCCACGAGACGACGGTGAGGAGCACCGATGCGTGACCGCATTCTTATTGCGTGGAAAAAAGCTCTCTTGCCCAAACAGGGCGGGCTGATGACGACAGTCGCTACAGCAAGAACATATTGCGGAGATAGTTCCCCACAAAAGGTCCGCAGCATCGGGGCGTGGAAAATCTTGGTCGCATTCGGCCATTGGTCGCCTATTTCTTGAGCGGCCCACCAGCGAGTAATGCCGGTGCCTCTCGGTGTCGGACCGACGTTTTGCTCGAGTCTGTCCAGGTGTTGCTTGTTGAGTCGAGTAAGCCGGCCATCCTAATCACGTTGGTGCTTGGCTCCCAAGACTATTACTTGGGATACATAATATGATCCCACCCCAGCTAGCTTGTCGAACAACCCCCCCTTCACGATAATTCCCCACCATCGTCATACCCGGACTGCATGGAAATGTGAATGCGATATAGCCCTGACTCGTGATAACGCTCTTTCCTTGCGCGGTTTAGACTCGCAGTGGACCAGTTCTTTTCTGGATGCTTGACCAGGATAATCGGGGTGTACACCGCATAGTACACCTAGGCGATGGCGATTCTGCTTCGGGTCACCGCTCCGAAAAGGTCAAAGGTGGTGGCGGGAGTCGGCTGAGATGGTACGTACGTTACTGGCAGCTGTGGCACGCTTCGGATGTGGTGGAAGAGGCTGAAAGACATCGGTACCTAATAGGCTGTAAGGTGGCAAAGCACGTGTGCACTACACCTACATGTGCATATGTGAACCGCACCATGTCTACACGTACGCGCTTGCGGGCTTTGAAATTGCTTACCAACACCACCCCGCTCGTCGTCGACCCATTTCCTTTCTTTGACGTTTCCTTGGCGCTCTCAGGTGGCTATGCCGGCAATCTTCTCATGTCGATCGACTGTACTGGCGGGAAGAAGCAGTGCAGTGTTAGAAATCCGAATCATGGCAGAACAAACGCAATGATGCCGCATGCCGATGGAAAGGCCGGAAACCGCCCCGCTGCATCGTGAGATTGCACAGCGATTTCAGGACCCGAGGTGTATCATGAAGCGACGGTACGAGTTGATTTTGAGCGCATCTGTGCATGGCCGACAGCCAGCACGTGGGCTCGCATTTGGGCCCCGGTCCCAGTGCCGTAGCCGGGGTGGGGCAGACCCGATGCAGATGAGGATGTGGATGTGTGATGCCGGCGGCTTGTGTCCTCAGCTCATACCAGTACGTGCGCAGGTGTAGGGATAGAATGGCGGTGCAGTGTCTGGTACACGGCCGCAGCGGACAGCAGAGTTACAGAAGGCATTACGTCAGCGGCCCCAGGCGTCTTGTTCGGGCTAGCACTCCCGCGGTTCGAGAACACGCGCGCCGTCGCCATGAACCATAGTTCACCTCGGCCCTTCATGTGGCTAGCCATGTTCCAGTAGGAGGCAATTCTCGCCGTTGCCCATGACCAGCTATTACTACTTCTCATCCTGGCCAACGGCCCTACTTGGTTGCCGCAGACGTCGCAGCTCCTAACACGCCCCCCGCCCTGACGCTCTGCTCTGCCCCCCACCTTCATCCCCCCCCGCTGCTGCCTACGCCCACCGCATCCCATCGCGAGC